ACGGTCGGGTGGGGGGGGGGGGGGGTCTCATCTGCGGCCGTGGGACAGCGGCTGGAGCAAGCGGCATTCGCCCCGCAGATCGCAGTCACTGGCCAACATCACCAGGTAGTCGCACTGCCGGCCCATAACTGCCGCCGGTCCGGTAGGTCCGTGCATCGGTCACAGTCAGGCGCGACCCGTGCTGAAAAGAGCGTGACGACTCGACGCTCGCATCCTAGCGCTCCTGAGCCGCTGGGCGGCGGCCATGCTCCGCTCATCACACGCGTTAACCGCAGCCTGCCACTGCCGGTCAAACGTGCGGCAATGCGTCGGGACGTCCAGCGGAGGCGTGTCTGTCCACAGTCTGAGCCGGGGACCGTCTGCCAGCGTGTGGAGTGTTCCACAGCTCGAGGAGGTCACTGGGCGCACGCATCGGTGGCTAGGTCGCCAATGCCGTGACTTTTTGGATGAGTCGCTTCACGGCCTTGACGGCCGCCTGAGCAGACCCATTGGACCAGTGATAGTGGGGCTTCACATTGCTTGGGCCACGCCCCACCGTCGGAGGAAGTGCGGGGTGAGGTATACTGAGTATAGAGGTGCGCCGTCGCTGCGGAGCACTGCCAGCACCTCGGTTTTCGCATCGACTTCGCGCAGTGCGCAGATCAGTGCGCGGGTAATGGCTCCATGGAGGCGGGGCCACTACCGGTCACCCGGTAACCGGACTACGCATCCCAGGTACGGTCATCCCGCGTGCGAGACAAAGTCCGTGGAGACGGCTTTGAATACGTGGTACAGGCTGGAACTGGGTCGAGATGTTCCCTTCGCCCAGCCTGGCGGGCAATCTCTGGTTGTAGTCCGATTACTAGAAGAGCAAGTTCGGGGATTATCGTCCATGGCCTGGTTGCCGCACGTTGTCGGAGAAGAGGGAGTTGCTCCGTTCGGATTGGAAAGAGTAGGGTGACGCTGCACGACGTAGTGGCGAGACACCTGTGTGCGCTATGCGAACGATTGCCCAGGGTTTGAATAAGCGCTATATCCGTCTGTTTACGTACGTCGTTTCGTTTTAAGAGCATCAGCGCTGGCATTGGCATCAGCCATTCACTTTACAAGGACGGCCCAAAAAAGCTGCCAGCGCCAGCGGCCGCGAGAGGCCGTTCGAAACGGTCGCCGCATCTCGGCAACCACGGGCCGGAGCGACGCGAAACAAGCGCGCTTTGAGAGATAATTGAACCGTGTGTCGCATGCTTTTATGTGTGAAGTTGCACACACCACGCGTCATGTGCACAGCTGTGGTCAAGGCAGATTTTGACATTTTTGACCGTCTTTCACGTGTTATCCACATATCGGTAATCAGAGCCGGCGGAAGCATGAATCCAGCTTAAAAGTGTCGACCAATATACCACCTACTAGTTACTAGGCTTGAATCCAACTCCAAAGTGTCAAACAATGTACCGTCTGCAATTAATGTAGCTTACATGTGTTTTTGAAACCCACTGTTGCGTCAGCAATTATCAAGGAAGCCGGAAATGTCGGGGTTTGGAAAATAGTAACAAATGTAGCACGCTGTCGCAGGAGCTATCGGCAGGATCTTGCCGAAATCTATATCACTGCATGCGCGGCATTGGCTGCATCTACCATCCATTTGTACCAGTCTGTGCTAGAGACCCAACCTTTCAGCCCGCCAACCCGCCGATTCCATCATGGGTTTCATGCGTGGCCATATCTGGGAACTCGTAAGGCTCCACGCGTAAGGGGATGACATAAACAGTAAAGGATCCAATAGCTCACAAAGAGTGACTGAATCGCATCACTGCACTATGGTCGGCCGATCCGGACTCCGGTCATCAATCGAAGGTCATAGACATGTTTTTGGACGGCCTACGATTTGCTCGTGACTAGTTATGTTTATCTTCGCAGCACTGAAAAGAGGTACCACTGGCTAAAAATGTAAACACACCACAACACACACACACACACACCACACCACACACCCACACACACCACCACCCACCCAACACACACACACACACCACACACACACACCACACACCACACACACACACACACACACACAACACACCCACACACACACACAACACCACACACACCCCACACACACACACACACACAACACACACCACACACCACACACACACACACCCACACACACACACACACACACACACACACACACACACACACACAAACACACACACACACACACCCACACACACACACACACACACACACACACCACACACACACACACACACACACACACACACACACACACACAACACCCACACCCACAACACACACACACACACACACCCACACACACACAACACCACACACACACACACACCACACACACATACACAACACACACGTATATATATCTCTTTCTCTCTCTGAACTCGAATCAAGATAGTGTGCGGTGGCGAGCCAAAGGACAGGGGGGGGGGGGGGGGCACACGGGGCCGGGCTAACGCGGCCGGTAGTACGCTATCGGGCGGCGTGGTGCCGATAAGTAAGCCGGGGTCCACCTATCGGACCACCTTGCGAGTCCCTTATCGTACAGCGGATGTCATCGCTGCGGGTGCTCAGGAACAGCTAGCAAGCCGGGACTGCAGGCGCTGCCGAACTGTGCGGGTGAGGATCACGGCACCTCCGAGCGCAGTGTGGAGGTGTCCGTCCAAGGTGGTGTGTGCGGCGAGCGCGTGTTCCCCGACCGACGCTCCGCCGGTGAACTCAGCTCCTCTGCGTATGTGCATTTAGAAGCAGCCGCACGGCGCCAGTGACGCTCTGGACCTGGGAGTGTAGCGCTGTGGAAGATCGGTTCACTAGAGCAGCTTTGATGGTGTGATCGCTTGGTGGTTGCAATCAGTGGACGTAAGGCGTATACCTGCAAGGTTTCCAGTCATCGTCTGTCCACCAGAGCAGCTGGAGCGAACCCCACCTCTTTTCGGACGATCCATAGGTGTAATAAGTTAATGTTTCACGACGGCCAGCAAGCTCGGAATAGCAAAGTAAAAAATAAGGATGGAAGGCGGCAGTCTCTTGACGAATCGTGGATGGATGCATTCCCCTTCAAGCTAAAGGGTTCACCAAGCCAGCGAGACGAATAAAACCATGTCCAAAGAGATAATGGGAGAACCACTTTGCAATGCTCAAGATAGTAAAAACAAAGCAAGATGACAAAATCAAGACCGATGCTACTTCGCTCGATTCCACGGTCAGGCGAAGAATATCAGGCAAGACTGCGGACGCTCAAGTCCAAGGAAGACAAAAAGAAGAAGAGGGAAGAGCATTGTGTCTTCGCTACCCGGCCGGCACTACGGCTTCCGTATAAGAAAGGAATCGCGACACGAGCCAGCGCGCCCCAGAGGGGGATGCCCGCCGCTCCGGCTAGCGTCTCAGCCTCGGACTCGCCCACATCAGCGACCATCCGCCCCGGCGGCGCACGTGCGGATCGCGACGGCGGATGAGTCGGCCTCGCTCCCCCGCACCCCTCCGACGGCGGCCGTGGGTGGCGTTCAGGACCCGGAGCAGGACACCGCGCCGCCGTTCGGACCGTACCAGAGCCCATCTACGACCAGGTGGCGACGCTGTCGCAAGTGATAGAGTCGCCGCCGCCTGGCTCGCCGTTCTACGGCGGCGAAGAGGCCAGCGCAGCGGTCGCGACGCGCAGCGCTTGGCCTGCCGCCGCCGTCGGCCCGACGAGCTCGAGAGGGCACGCCGCGCCGGCCTCGCTTGGCTACCGCCAGGCCTGGCGACGGCGACGTGGACGAGTTCGAGGCGCAGCTGAAGGCTGACGACGTGCCCCGGCTAGGCACCGCCGGCGCGCTCAGCCGCCAGCTGCGGCTGCTACGCCAGCTGCCTGAGGCGGACGTGGTGCCCACCGGCGGAAGGGTGCCAGTTCGCTGTCGCCCGCAACGACACGGCGCTGGCCGAGGGCCCGCCTGGTGCGCCTGTCGGCCGCCAGACAGTGCGGCGGCTGTGACGGCTGGCGTGTCCGCCCGGGCAGCTGGCCGTCACTGCCGCCGGCCTCTCGGCGGACGCCTGGCATCCTGGCTGCTTTACGTGCGGCAGCTGCAGGGAGCCGCTGGCGGACCTAATCTTCTGCCGGTATCGAGGGCAGCCGCTATGCGTGCGCCACTTCGGCGAGAAGCTCAAGGATCGTTGCGTCGGCTGCGACGCCCTCATCTTCAGCGGTGAGCACGTGCGCGCGAGAGGGCCTCGCCTGGCACGGTCACCACCTCGCCTGCCACGAGTGCCGAACGCCGCTGGCCGGCCAGGAGTTTGGTCTGCTGGAACGCACGGCCTACTGCCCTGCCGTGCTACGAGAGCGCTTCGGTGGGCACGTGCGGCGGCTGCGGGGAGGCCATCCGGCCGGCCTGAGCTGGCGGCTCAGCTTCGGCCGGCGCCACTGGCACAGTGGCTGCTTCTCGTGCGACAGCTGCTGCCTGCCGCTGGAGGGTCGGCCGTTCGCGCTGCGTGAGGAGCGCGCGCTCTGCGGCCCGTGCAGCAGCGGCGCGCCGCCGGCATCGGAGCAGCCGCGCTGCGATGGCTGCGGCCTCCAGATCGACCCCGACAGCGTGCGCATGAGTCCAAATCAGGCCTCTGGCACGAGGCCTGCTTTGTATGCTGCAAGTGCCACGTGCCGCTGGGTGAGCGCACCTTTCTGCCCAAGGAGCAGCAGTTGTTACTGTTCGCGCTGCTACGAGGAGACGTTCGCGGCGCGCTGCGCGCAGTGCGAGACGACCATCAACAGTCTTGGCGTGACTTACCAGGGCGAGACATGGCACCGCGAGTTGTTTCCGCTGCTCGCAGTGCGAGGCGGGCCTGGCCGGCCAGAAGTTCCGTAGCCACGAGCAGCAGCCATACTGCTCCGACTGTTATCGCGAGGCGTTCGCGAAACGCTGCGCCCGCTGCCACCGCCTCATCCCCATGGCTAAGGGCGTGCGCTACATCGTCTTCGAGAAGCGCTGCTGGCACAACGAGTGTTTCAGCTGCCGCCG